GTATGGTTGTGTGTGTGGGTTAGTACATGTACTTCAGTATGTTTATGTGTGTGGGTTAGTACATGTACTTCAGTATGGTTGTGTGTGTGGGTTAGTACATGTACTTCAGTTTGGTTGTGTGTGTGGGTTAGTACATGTACTTCAGTATGGTTGTGTGTGTGGGTTAGTACATGTACTTCAGTTTGGTTGTGTGTGTGGGTTAGCACATGTACTTCAGTATGGTTGTGTGTGTGGGTTAGCACATGTACTTCAGTATGGTTGTGTGTAGGTTAGTACATGTACTTCAGTATGGTTGTGTGTGTGGGTTAGTACATGTATTTCAGTATGGTTGTGTGTGGGAGAGTACATGTATTTAAATATGGTTATGTGTGGGAGAGTATACGTACTTCACTATGTCTGAGTGTGAGAGAGTACATTGACTTCAGTGTGATTGTGTGTCGGGGCAATACATGGAATTCAGTATGTTTGTGTGCTTAAGACTACATTCACTTCAGTATATTTGTTTGTGTGTGGTTAGTACATGTACTTCAGTGTGGTTGTGTTGAAGAGAACATGTACTTCAACATGGTTGTGTGAAGGGGAGAGTAAAAGTACTTCAGTATGGTTGTGTGTAAGGGAGAGTACATGTATTTCAGTGTGGTTGTGTGTAGGGCAGAGTACGTGTACTTTAGTATGGTTGTGTGTAGGGGAGAGTACGTGTACTTTAGTATGGTTGTGTGTAGGGGAGAGTACGTGTACCTTAGTATGGTTGTGTGTAGGGGAGAGTACGTGTACTTTAGTATGGTTGTGTGTAGGGGAGAGTACGTGTACTTTAGTATGGTTGTGTGTAGGGGAGAGTACGTGTACTTTAGTATGGTTGTGTGTAGGGGTAGAGTACGTGTATTTAGTATGGTTGTGTGTAGGGGAGAGTACGTGTATTTTAGTATGGTTGTGTGTAAGGTAGAATACATATTCTTCTGTATGGTTTTGTATGTGCGAGAGAGAGCATGTACTTCATTATGTTTCTGTGTGAGTACACGTACTTGAGTATGGTTGTGTTTAGGGGAGAGTACGTAGACTTCAGTATGTTTGTGTATGTAACAGTACATTTATTGGAACTACAGCAAGCTGTCTCAACTTTTCTTTCGGTGTACATGGTTTGAACTACAGCAAGCTGTCTCAACTTTTCTTTCGGTGTACATGGTTTGAACTACAGCAAGCTGTCTCACTTTTCTTTCGGTGTACATGGTTTGAACTACAGCAAGCTGTCTTCACTTTTCTTTCGGTGTACATGGTTTGAATTACAGCAAGCTAATGTACTGTGACATACACAAATATATTGAAGTCCACGTACTCTCACACACAAATACACTGAAACCATGTACACGAAAGAAAAGTTGAGACAGCTTGCTGTAGTTCAAACCATGTACACCGAAAGAAAAGTTGGGACAGCTTGCTGTAGTTCAAACCATGCACACCGAAAGAAAAGTTGAGACAGCTTGCTGTAGTTCAAACCATGTACACCGAAAGAAAAGTTGGGACAGCTTGCTGTAGTTCAAACCATGTACACCGAAAGAAAAGTTGGGACAGCTTGCTGTAGTTCAAACCATGTA